TCAGTTGTCTATTCAATCGAAACTCTTGAAATGAGTCTACAGCACTCTGGTATGCCCGCTGTGATCCCTCTGCTAAGGACTGTCCTAGTAGTCTATGTGTTTCTGCTGCTAGGTCAGCACTATTCCCGTAGGTATACGACTTGGTCGGTCTCGTGCTCCTGGTGCTAGTTTGCGGAATCGCCCCATCTGAAATCGTGAAAGGGAGTCGGCAACACCATTGTCAAGTGTATGTACGTAAACTGCTTTATAGACAATGTTTTTCTTTAAGCAGATCAACACAAATTTACGTAATAACTCCATTATTTTCGGACATGATGATGTCTGCTTGTTTATTGCAAACTTCACTGACATGTTGTCTGTGTACAGGACTATTCTCCTATTCTGGAGTTCCTCCCCCCATGCAGCGATGGAGAGTAGAATGGGTATCATTTCTTTCCATGCTATTGACGTACCCTCGATAATTTCGCGCGACGACCACTTGTTATTAAACCACTTGCCTTCAAAATAGGCTCCGAAACCAATTTCCCCGCTAGCATCAGTGTACAGAACGTGGTCGTTATCTCCTCCCCACCCTTCCTGGGGGATGACTGATATGCCATTATAGTGGTTCAGGAATTCGAGCCATATGGTTAGGTCAGCTTGGGCCCCCTCATTCAACATTATACTGGTACTTTTCACATTTTTCCCTTTTGTTAAGTCTATTAACCGTCGTAAAAATGCTCTGCCCGGTCGTACAGCTCTGCAAATGAAATTCAAGGAGCCAATCAAAGATTGAATCTCTTTGACGGTGGCTGATTTATGAGCTAGCGCCCTACCGATTTTCCGTCTTATTTCCACCAGTTTTTCTTGTGGTACACGTACTTGCATTAGTACTGAGTCAAGCTCTAAGCCAAGAAATGTCAATCTAGTAGTAGGCCCTTCTGATTTTTCTTTGGCTAGGGGGACGCCTAGTTCTTTGCACACTAATATTAATGTATCAACAACTTGTTTACATGTTAATTCTTCATTTTGTATTGAACCCACACATAAGAAGTCATCCACATAGTGCACTATTTTGTTGGAGCCAATTCTTTCCCTAACGCAATGTTCAATAAACGTAGAAAAAGATTCGAAATATGCTGGGGCACATCTGATACCCATGGGTAAGCATTTGTCAATATAATATTTGCCGTCAAACTTGACCCCGAGCAGTTCAAAATCATTTGGATGAATCGGTAGTAACCTGAATGCCGATTTGATGTCCTCTTTTGCTAGCTCGGCACCTATGCCTGCTTCAACAATTAATTCTGTTGCTTTATCAAAACTCGTGTATTCAACCTTGCAAACTTTATCCGGAATAAAATCGTTTATTGAATACCCGGGTGGGTATGACAAGTGGTTAATTAAACGATATTCGCCCGGCACCTTTTTGGGCACCAGTCCAATGGGACTCGACCGTAATTTGTTTAGTGGCCTAACTTCAAATGGGCCTAGGTATCTACCCAGTCTTACCTCTTTTTGAATTTGTTCAAGTGCTACTGGTTTGTTGTTTGCCACTGATTTTAAATTGGGCATATCAGCCGGCATGCGGGGGCCTGTGTAATTCAATTTGAAGCCTTCAGTAAAGCCTTTTTTCAAAAATTCTGCGGCCTCCCTGTTAGGATACGTCTTTAACATAACTTGTACGTTCTCGGTTATAATTGGTGTTTGTGCTAGAGACATTAAGTCACTCATCTGTTGCGTTATGTTATTATCTTCTTTCACATTGCCATGTATATCTTTATTATTCTTCTGTGTTTGTTCCCCATTTCTGGAGGTGCAGTTATTTGTTGTTGGGTTTGATGGCTTTGAGGTTTGACCGTTGGACTCCAGTGCAGTGGATTTTCCCATGCCCTTTGTTACCACAAAGGGTACATGCGTGTGTAAAGCGGCATGCCTGTCTAGAGCATTGCCCTGACCGGTAATTGAATTCATAGCATTCTCCGCCACGAAAGTTTTGTGCCCGAGATGGCGCCCTTCCCTTATTCATATTGGGTGTGAACTTTATTGTGCTCGACCCCCGGGGTGTGGCCCATTCCCGCTTGGTTGCCCACGATCCCTGTTGGGTTTGGGGGCGGTCTTGTATCCGCATGTTTCGCGGAGATCCCCCACCTATTACGTGAAGGAGCCACAATTCCCCATCTATTGATGACCACAACCCGCCTTTTCTGTGCATGCGATGTCGAAATTCGACATCGTAGTCTCTCCAACCATACCCATAGTACCGAGAGGCAGCAGATCGGATTAGTTGCCCATATTTCAGAAGCTCATGTGAGCGAGTTGGATTGGCTTCTAGATAAATACTGGTATATACAAGAAATGCATCGGTCCACCGTTCAATGGACACGATTTTATTTTTGTTAGAGGTAGCGGGTTTCAGCACTAACCTTCCCCCTTCGTGAGATATTGCTAGGTTAGGGGCTTGTTCGTCTACTGCCTCTGGCATTGATTGTGTTGCTATGTTTTGTGTCTCAAGAAGTGTGTTTAAATCTACATATTGCCCTCTCCATATTTTTTCCTTCATGTTGGGGTGTACTTTAGTCCCCAGTCTATCAGTGACCGGAAACAAGGGCGACTGATCTGTGTTATATGTGTGTGCACCACTGTGCTCCCCCCTTGTATCCCAGGCAGTAGCGCCTGACTGAGTCGGTTGCCCGACACTGCTTGCCCGTGTGGGAGGATGGGCTTCATTATCCCTCAAATTATGACTAGCTCTAGGCCTAGTGTCACTCTCGTTGTGTGTAGTTTGTAATTGAAAGCCAGCGTGTAGGCTACCGGTGTTTGGTACAATCGAGGGGAAGGAAACCACCAAGTTGCTTTCCCTCTCGCTTTCAAGATTGTTAGATCTATGTCTTGTTGTTTCACTAAATTGTGATATTTCTGGTAGATGTGATTGCATAGCTACGTCTACCTCACCTTGCATTGGCTGTGCATGTGAAGGCGGCTGGCTTGATGACTGGTTCGCTCCAGTTGTCTCGTTTCCACTGTATTGTGGTCCGTCAGTCTCCGGAGCCGGGTTTATGCTGGTAGTGGCTGAGCGTCCACTGCTGGGGTTACCGCTCGAGTGTCTCGCCCGTTTTGGCCGCCCCGCCCGCCGGGGAGTTGAGGTGCCGAGTACGTCTTGAGTGGTGTCGTTGCTAGACTGCCTTAATCTTGTAGACTGTCTAGGCCTAGCAATCTTTGGTTGGCGGGCCACCCGGCTCTGGCTTGATTTCCGCTTTCCCATCTTTCGATATACTGGGATTTCCTCTCGTTATTTAGACTTATCTGTATACTCAATTGTAGAGCCTTCTCGAAAAAGGACTTCTCCGAGCGGAGATAAAGTCGAAAGTGAGAAAATCTTGCACACGGCGTTCCCACGCTTACTGCGCGCATAACTCCACCGTTGTAGATTCACTGGCTGTGCGCATTTTCGGTTTCTTTACAGAGGTAAATTTCACATGTCGCTGTCTCACAAAGGCACCGCTTAAACAGCTGTAAAAGGCGCGCGCTATTTCTGGCCTATGCCAGCAATTGTTTTGTCTATCCTTGACTCTCCCAGAATGACTCTGATCATTTATTATGATCACGTTATTCTATGTAATGACTAAAGTACGGATTTGTTGAAAATTTGCGTAGACTTTAAACGTATATGAAAATAAAGATAGGAAATTAGATGTAGATCATAAGTATAGAATTCAAGTTCTCCACAAGCATATCATCTGCCCCCCCCCCCCCACACACACACACACAAATAAATAAATATATATCTATTTATTCTGTTTTATTTTGATTTCTTGATGCCTTTGACGTAATGCAGCTATAGAAGTGAAGAAAATAGGGAAACATAACATGAATAAAGTTTACATTTAGCCTACCTTGTTACAAATTTGTCCGATATCGACAATGGAATTGAATGAATCACAATAAGTTAATTTTCAGGAAAATAAAACCAAGTAGGACTAGGAGCCTACATAAACAAAATCCGTGTTCCAGTAATTCGAATGGATATGTTACGAAATTGACTGCTAATGGCGAAATGGAACGCCCGAGTTAAACATTCGGCAATTTAATTTTGAAGACGGAATTAATTTGAATAATAAAAGCGCAAACTCCCGCGACCGACACTTTTAATTAATGACTGAAGTATATGAATTCAATTCGGAGACTTTAATAAGTGACGTTTTTTTTAACGGACTAAAAATCAGCGAAATTGGACAGGAAATCCTATGTCATTTTGTTATTTATTTTTTATTTTGACAGGACCAGCCAGCTACCTCATTGTGTGAGGAGTACGGGTCAGAAGAAACGAGATAAACTTCAGACATCTTCAGACTGCCTCCTGACTTGTTCTTGATCTGCAGCAGATAGCATTTGGTGGTCGACGGAAGGAAGGAGAATATACCCGACTGTAAACAATTATTTCATTACACTAAGTTTCTTAAGTACATGGAAGCAATATCAATTAACACAAATCTTTGTCATGATATTATAGACTGTCTCTGGGTGACTACCGATAAGACCGTTGGCTGAAATCCTTAACAAGATGATCCCCCGTCCTATCCCAAAGATTTTAACCCGGTTTATCTGATCATTAACATGATTACAGATGGTTTATCATAACTATTATTGTTTGCATTGTGTATCATATCAGTGCATATTGAGATAGGAGAAACACAATGTCGGAATTTGAACACAAAGTTTCACGCAATTTGCAGTGCCCTGTTTGTCTCGAGCTGCTTAGTGACCCGAAGCAGTTATCATGTACACATACTTTCTGTAAGAACTGCCTTAATGATATTCTTAAAAGCTCTTCACAAAATTATGTAATTTGTCCCATCTGTCGAAGCGAAACATCTGTAAAGGGTGGCAATGTCTTGAATCTAAATACAAATGTTCCTCTTAAGTCTCTCATTGGTGATGTGAGAAATTGTCAACAAGTCTGTGAAATGTGCGACTCAAACTCGAGAGCTGTACATTTCTGTTGCGAGTGTGGTAAGGATATGTGTACCACATGTCTTGACATTCACAACAAATGGCCGCCTCTTGGCAAGCATAGAGTTGTGAGTGTAGAAGACGTCAGAGAGGGAAGGGTGGTCCTCGAAAAAGAGGTTTACTGCCAAGAACACAAAGCAGATAAGAAAAAACACCTCTGTAATGATGTGTGTATAACCTGTAAGAAGTTCATCTGCTTGAGATGTAGGTTGCTGAACCACGAGAATAAAGGCCATACAGTTCAAAATACTGAGGAATACAATGCTTCTACCAAGAATGAAATTGAATCTCTACAAGCCCGAGGTAAAATGAAAGTTACACCTATCAAGGTTCGATTATTCTGCATCAAGAATCAGGAAAAGCGTGTCATCGATCACTTTGATGGCAATACGGAGGTTATTAACAAGACGTATCGAGAATCACTCAATAAATTAAACGAGTGGAAAGCATCATTAGACAACCAGTTGGATGCTCAGAAAGTGAAATTATATAAGAGATTGGATGAGATGCAAGATGTTGATGAGAGGATGATTACAAGTATTGAGAGTGCGAGTGTGTTAGCAGGTAATAGCATGAAGGCTCCATTAGAAGATGATATCATTGTTATTCGTGATACATTGTCTGGAGAGCTGAAGAATGTACTAGATAGGGATGATCCACAGATGGAGCTTGCTACGGATGTAGCTAACCAGGCAGAGCAATTGATATTCACACCTAACAATCAATATGATCAGTTGAACATAGGTGAGGTAAGGTTCATGAAGTATGAGTTAGAATGTGATGTAGAACTCTCTAAGAAAGACTACATGAATGGCATGACTGCTACACCCGATGGTAGGATGGCAGTGGGCTACAGCTCAGGCGGAATCGATATCTTCTCTGCTGATGGTCACCTACAGAAGACAGTCCTCAATGAAGTCCGGATCGGAAGATTAGGATATCTGTCTGACGGTCGGTATGTCGTTCTAAATGACACAGATCGCCTCACATTGTACACACAGGAGTTTGAGAAGCTGGACGTATCATTTGATACTCAGAGTAAAGATGTAGTTGGGTTTGGGCGTCTCACTGTAGACAGTAATGATCTGATCTTTGTAGGCTACTCATCAGCCACAAAGATCCAGGTGTTCTCACCAGCAGGGGGGAAGGCGATCATTGAGATACCATGCGAAGTGTATGAACCTTGGCAGATCCTTAGTTATAATGACGTATTGATCATCAACTGTGTAAATGCAGTACGAATAATTGACAAAGTTGGAAATGTAAAACACAATGTTGAAAAATCAAATGTGTACCCATTCCCTGCTGTGAGTCAGAATAATTCAATCCTGATCGCTTGGGTCAAGCATGATGATGGGTTGGTTAGTATAGATGAGTACACCAGCAATCTGAAATACGTCCAGACTCTCATCTCTGATCACAGGATTGAGAATCCCAATACACGTGTATGGTACTATCTCCGCGAGTTCCCATCAGGGGAGATTGCCTTCTGCACTCCTGGTAGACTCTATATATTTAAAGAAACCACCACACCATGCAGTCCATGAATGATAACAGTCCAGTATCAGGTAACTACACAATCATGATGTGATTGAAAATGGAGTAATTTTCTCCTAACGTGATGTATAATGACTCTTAATTATCTATAATGATTTTTAGGCAAATTCTCTTGAAATACAACATGCATATTAACATGACTAAATTTTTAATTCAATTCGAAAGTTATGAAAATCTGATGTGACGTGATGTATTATTTGACTTTCAATTGTTTAGATGGATTTTGGGGCAAATTCTCTTGAAATACAACCTGCATAATAACACGACTAAATTTTTGATTAAATTCGATAGTTTAATCTTGACGTCAACAAGTATTTGTATTGTGTTTATCGAAACACATCAATATTCTGGTCATAAACACAGAATAGACTATAATGTAATATATTGGTACTACGTATGTATTTATTACGTATATATATATGTTTCTATGGTATGTATTTTATGAAAATATCATAAATTACTTGTATGTCATAAATCTTTAAAAGTACACACAGATATAATGAATTAAATACATAAACAAATAGATATTGTAATTTGAAACCTACCACTGGTGGGATCATAATACACCATTTAGGATAATTCAATATGTTTGAATGGTAATTGAACAGAGTATTTTTAGAGACACCAAATGATCTGTTCCGTGGATAAGACCGCGTCAAATGATATGTAAAACTATATATGATATGATGGACTACCGATGGAAATTAATCGATTCAATTCAAGTAAAACAGGCTGTAACACCTTATTTCACAACACAAGACATGCTGAAAGGGATGCATTGTGTACACCCAAATTTAGGACGTACACATATAAAGTGGTCCTCTAACTTTAGGTATTAGAGTATGGAACCAGCCTGAAAGTTCTATCAAGGCGTCACGTACTTTGAACAGTTTAAAACACACTCTAAAAGCCCTGTTATCTGCAGATGACGCGTAAATGAACTTTTTTTTTTTTTTTTTTTTTGGGGGGGGGGGGGGTTCGTGCGAAGCTATAATGCTACAGTCACAAATGTTCGTACGAATCTCCCTGTTCCTACGAATTTCAGAGTTCGTAGAGATTCGTAGATGGAAAATAGTTTCTTACGTCCTTCTTACTGAGTTCGTACGAACGCCGTTTAATTCGCAAGAAAAGAAGAACTCAAGACCTTCTTGAGAAACGAAGTGATTTTCGGTTATACAATGGCCCTAGAGTTCGTACGTTTTTCGTAAGAACGCCTTGAGTTCTCCTTACGTCAGACTTACGGCCATCTTACGAGTTTTTGTTCTCGCAAGGTGGTCGTACGTGTAACTTACGACATTCACAAGTCATTCGTAAGAAGATCTTATGATTTTTGTTGTATATTGGGTCAGGTTGCAAAAAAAGCTCTGCCGTATACTGTCGAAAATTCTATGACTGTTGAAAGTTTGATATTTCACGATGGCAATATTGCCAAGAAGACTACAACTGCAACTGCAGCTGCATCTGCAAGTAGAGGATTAGTGATTACTTATTAGTGCCACGTTTACTTTAACATGTGCCTCTTTTTTCTTTTTAATAAGAGCCACTTCCCCTTCTCATAAAAGTCCCCTTTCACCTCTGATAAATGCCCCTATTCAAATCTTTTCGGTGCCCCTTTTCTTTCAACAAATGCACATTCCCCTTTATCATAAGTCCCCCTTTTTCATTTTCATAAGTGCCCCTTGTCACCTCTGATAATTACCCTTTTAAACATGATATGTGCCCCTTTTTTTTCTAATAAGGACCCTATCCCTTTTTCATAAATGCCCCTTTTCATTTCTTATAAATGCTCCTATCAAAATCTGATGGGTACCTCTTTTCCGTCGACAAATGCCCATTTCCTATTCTTATAAAGTCCCTTTTCATCTCTGGTGTGTGCCTCATTTTTTAAGTGTAAGAATTGCTTAAACAATATCTAATATGATGTAAACAGTGAAACAAATACTGAAACCGTCCCTGATAATGTAATCACAATATAGGGGTATATACCAATGTCTATATTTCTTTATATTTTCGCTTTGAGGATTTCCCTTTGAAGGTGCCTTTTTTTCCCCCAGGAAATGCCCTTTTTAGTTGTTGCCCCCCCCCCCCCCTCCCCTACTTTGGGATGTCGCTCCGCCGCCTCTGCGTTTATGTACCAGTAATCGCTAGATCCCTTTATTATATGTTTATGTATGATTTAGACCACGTCATGTACGTGTTTACTGTATAAAACTGTAGAGATTTTGTTTTTTGTTGTTGATAAATATTGATAAACAAGCAGTTGTTACAAAACACGTTTGTCTGTTTTCTTGGTTATCTGCGTACTAGGCCTACATGCTTAACAAAACGATAAAGTGAAATAAGTATTGACACTGAAATAATACATGTACATCTCTTGTGAGCCCAAGGTCCGACTCATTAATGCACGTTTTCCTTGTATCATAGAAATTGAACTAAGTAGGCCTTTATATATCAAAATATAAATTAAAGGGTTTTAAAAAAAGAAACAAAGAGAGAAGAGACTAGAATAGTATGAACATAAAATAATAAGACGATTTTCAACGTGTACAAGAACAATAAAGGGGAATTTGATTTAAATCTTCAAAATAGTCCTAAATTTGATTAACCCTTTTATTATGTTTTACAGATATTCATGAATACAAGAAAAATTGTTTGCACTATTAAACGTGATTATGAATACCTTGGTAGCCTTGATTTTACTTGATTACTTCATTTGACGAATTTTAAGCTTGTATCCTTATTTGAGATATTGCTATTTCTATTACCTTTCTTGTTTACATTTTTTTTAAATTCGGTAATAAATAAATGAAAGCACCGAGATCTTAAAAAAAGCAAAGAAACATACTGTTTTGTGTTTTTGTTGTTTTGTCGTCTCCCATCGTGCTTAATACCTTCTGGATTAAACACATTATGACTGTTGTTGTTGTTTTTATTTCCGTATAATAAAATCGGTTAAAATACATACAAAGTAATCAAACAAACAAAAGGACAAAATACGACTGGTGCCCCATTTTCAGCTGCAACTATATTGTTGCTGCTCTCCTCCTCTTTCTCCTCCCCCCCCCCCCCCCCATCTATTTCCTTACGTTTGGTTCCCTTCCCTCTCTTCCCTCTAAAGGATTTTCCTTTTGGTCCCATATTTCTTCGACAGGAGATGCACCCTCGACGAACATTATGAACAGAGTGAGGATCTGAAATTCACGCGCTTGGCTTTATAACCGCTAAAATTCAAAATGTGCATAAATGATGTACTTACACCTTACGAACACCTTACGAACGACTTACGAACGCCAGGAGTCGTTCGCCATGAGTCGTTCGTACGAAGACAATAAGAATCTCCACTCGTAAGGCGTTCTTACGAACGCCGTAAGAGCTCTCTATGAACAACTTGAGGCGTTCTTACGGTCATCGTAATAATTTGAAGCTTCTAAAATTGTCCCTCGACCCTACGAAATGTATTAAGATCTTGCGCGGTTCGTACGATGTAATTACGGCGTTCGTACGGCCGCCTTACAAAGAGAGGGTTTCGTACGATGTTAACAAAAATCTTGGACAAGACCATCGACCAATCTGCGATCTTACGAACGGTCTACGAACGGTCAACGAACGCCGGTTTCGTACGGCCTTCTTAAGAGGTGTCGTGGATGAGTGGATATGTCACCGGACTGTGGATCACAAGGTTCGCGGTTCAAGTCCCACCGCGGCACTAATGTCCTTTGGCAAGACATTGATCTACATTTGCCACTCTCCACCCAGGTGTAAATGGGTACCCGGTAGGATGCGAAAGCTAATGTGGTTAGATTAGCACGTGTGCGCTTGTAAAAAAGACGCCTGGCTGGAATGCTCCCCAGGGAGTGGAGAATGTGCATACATTGTGTGCGGGTAAGCCTGAATCCTATGACCGGGGTAATAATATATATATCTGTAAAGCGCTTTGAGAGGGCCTTCGGTCCTGAAAAGCGCTATATAAGAACTAGCTATTATTATTATTATTATTAAGAAGATCTTACGAAATGGTCTGAAAATCGTTCGTACGGCGTTCGTAGCAGCCCGTAACGGTATTTGTGACCGAGGCTTTAAACTTACGATACATGCAATCATTTCCAATAAAACAGGCTTCCGGTACAAACAATAAAGTTGTGAAAACTACTCCATATCACTGTATAAGATGCAAATCAAATAATGTCCAATAAAACAGCCCTTTTCAGCACTAGTCCGAGAGCATAAGTTCACACATATAGATGTTCAAAAAAATATAAATGAAAAGTTGCAGTAGTACATATTTTTAAAATTGTTCATGGTAATAAAGAAATAACAAATGCAGAAGATATTGCAAATGCATATTACATTTATTTTGTCAATGTTGGCCTAAATCAAGCCAAGATGATAAATAAAAATGGAACCAACTTCACACAGTACCTCAATGAACCATCTAATACTTCTATTTTTCTCAAACCAACGGATTACATTGAAATTATTAATGTAGTGAGATTGCAAAAAAAACAGTCACTCTTCTGGGCATGATGAAATCAGTACATTTTTATAGAAAAATATAATTGGTTTAATTCTAACGCCTCTTGTACACATTTGCAATCTCTCTTTGATGACCGGAGTGTTTCCTTCTTCTTTCAAACTGGCAAGGGTGATTCCTGTTCATAAAAAAGATGACGTGATGGTCGTTTCTAACTATAGACCAATCTCAATACTGCCTAGCTTTTCTAAAAAAAATTGAACGAATTGTTTATAACAGGCTGTACAGTTTTGTTGTTGTTTTTTGATAAATGTAAATTATTGAATCCTGATCAATTTGGATTTCGGCGGTCTCATTCTATAGATCTTGCGCTACTGAAATTTTATGATCGCGTTTCAAGTGCACTCGCTGCTCACGAGCATGTCATTGGTGTATTCATGGATCTGAGCAAAGCATTTGACACACTTGACCGTTCAATTCTTCTTTCTAAGTTAGAGCATTATGGAATAAGGGGCATAG